TTGAACCCCCCAGACTCCCCCGCCAGGCTTGCTGGCTGGGGAATTCTGGGAGTTGAAGTCCACACAGCTTAAAGTTGCTGAGGTTGAGAAAACTGCACTAGAGGAACCCGTATTAAACACCCTGTAGGGTCAGGCAGGGATGAAGAACAGTGTTTCCAAAATCATTTAGTTCAGAAGTTAGATCTGAAAACTTAGCAATCAAAAATAAGCTTTCACTACATAAGGATGATTCAGTCTAATGAAATTAACATGGAAAGAAGATCTATCACTGCTATTATTAATTATAACTAAAGAGAATTTCCATGTTCAGAAGCTCTGGGCAGGGTAAGTATAAACTGTGTAAGTTTCTTGAGAGCATTTTTGTGCCTGCATTGGAAAAAGGATGTGGGCAGGAGACAAATCTTGGATCTCCTTCTTTTTAATCACCCCTCCTGGGTCAATCTGGGAAATATAAATTACCATTAATTGATGGCCAATTTGGGTTGATATCACTATTTATTGGACCCATTTAGGCTCCACATTTCCTGACATAAATCCTCACCCGGTTGTTCACAAACCAATAAAAGAGAATAAAAGTGGTTAAAACAAGGCAAATAAATAAATATTAAAATACGCAAGAATGCAATATATAAAGATGTCCCTCCTGGTTATATTTTCTGCCCTACTAATGGCAAAGAATTATAGGATGATTAAAGCAACCATTCAAATGTTGATGTTTGCTTAGGATAAACATCAGTTTCTGCTGCTCCTGTTTCAACTCTTCCCTCTGTTTGTCTTTTTCCTCAATCTTCTCCCCAAAGAAGAGGTAAAAAGGTGATTATCTGAAGGGAAGAGCTGGCATTTTTTCAGATGAGTTACTTGTCTTTGTAGGTAACAACCATTAGCAGTTACAGAGCAGTTCAGCCACTAATAATCTGCATTTATTTGGTGTCTCCCCCTGAACTTAGATAACATCCAAAACACTTGGGGTCCAGGTTAATGTGTGTCTGTCTGTCTGTCTGTCTGTCTGTCAGCCTGTGTATTCCAGGCAAATTACACCCTTTCTTCTCTACTGCAAAGGTGACAGTGACAACGATTGGCTATGGGGACAAAGTGCCACAGACCTGGATCGGCAAGACAATCGCCTCTTGTTTCTCCGTGTTTGCAATCTCGTTCTTTGCTCTGCCTGCGGTGAGTGGAAATACGATGCCACCGGGCAACGCTTTCTGAGTCTGAAGACTCTTTGTCTGCATAAAGCAGTGTTGTCCAAACTTGGCCACTTTAAGATGA